TTTATGGGTATCTTTCAACAAATTGTCCTTTTTTTGATCTTCTATCATGTTGGTGTTAATTTGAGGGCTAAAAGTATAATTTAACAATGATAATATATCTTTTTTGTCATACACAATTCCAAAGGCTGTTCCGTTTGCGTCGTTTGTGAATTACAGTCGCTTTCTACTACAAACATAGTCTACAAATGTGGTCTTTCGTTGGAATCCTAGCTCACAATCATAGTCATTATTTTTGTGTTATCCGCTTAACCAATATCAAAACACGTCACTAGACATAATGTTGATGTCAAATTATACTTTTAACCTTTAAATTAACACCAACATGGCAGAAGATCAAAAAAAGGGCCATTTGTGGAAAGGCACCCTTAAAAAAGGACTACGGGGGTAATATTTGATAATAGAGGACTAAATATGGAAACTCCCTGTTATAAAGGACCAATTATAGAATTTACTCTTTTTTAATGGATTGAATAATGGGGTTCCGTATGTATCCCCCTCCTTATATAACATAGCATGGATTGCTTCTTTTTATTTAATTCTTCTTCCTCTACAACTCCCTATATATGATAATATAGCAAAAAAAATTATCTATTAGATTACAAGATTTAAGAATTCAAAAGAGTAAAAGAAGATCTTCTTTTGGAAGGTATGTAATGTTTTACTTATCTCTTTTTTTGTTTCATTGGCTATTTAATTACAAAATACTCTCTCCGTCCCCATTTCAATTACAATTTTTTTCTTTTTTTCTGGATAACTTAAGTTTAATTATGCAATTTCATAAAGTATTTGATAAAATAAAAGATTATTGTCACCTCTTGTCTTTTAGAACTTTTGACATAGTTTTTTAATATGTAATTTTTATTTCTTATTGATATACCGATTTATAAATTAAATGATTTCAAAAAGTAAAAATAAGTGAGAATATGATAAAGTAGAAAAAAATTGACAGAAATTGTATTTAACAAATAAATTATTTTATATGTATTAGTGTGATGGATGAAGTGCAAAATGATCTCGCTGGACCAAAAAGTTTAGAAATATTAAATTTACAAGCGGCTCATCATTCTCTCTGTATTTGGAATGACCCGACATATATTGATGCAAAAGTAGAACCGTGTCGGTATGATGGTCATATCCCTACAAATTTTACAGACCCGAGGGTTATTGGGAATCTACGTAGAGCTGGCTCTTATGGGGTACACCGAGTTCATCCCATTAAATTTGATCATGGCCTCATCACTGCATTGATGGAGCGTTGGAGGCTTGAGGTACATGCATTTCATTTCCTATTTGGCGAAATGGGTATAACATTACAAGATGTAGAGTGTCTTATGGGTTTGCCAATTGATGGGTTTCATATTCTTGGTGCGCCACCCATGACTCCCGAAGAACGGGATGCAGCTTTTCGTAACATTCTAGGTTGGGAGCCAAATGAGGCACATTTTGGACGTCCAGACCAGTTTAAGGTTCCTTTGTTAAACCGCGGGTTGCAATCAAATGCCCAGTGGAATGATTTTCATGTCCATCAGTACACTGCTCAGGTTATATATATGAGTATTTAGGTGGTCTTCTTTTTCCAGACACATCTAGAAGGTTTGCACCCACCGACTTTGTATTGTTCCTAGACGATTTTGATCGGACTTCTCAATATAGTTGGGGATCAGCTGTTTTGGCACGGCTTTACAGTAGTTTATGCCGCACAGCACTAAAGAAGAATGATGGAACTCGACCAGGAGGGTGCTTACTTCTACTTCAGTTATGGGCTTGGTCACGCTTGTTGCCTATCCGACCCGAGGTGAAGATTTAGGCTAATTATTGCCACGGACCTCCTGCGAAAGACGAACCTCATGGTGCTAGGTATTAATATATACTATAATTTAGTTTATGTTCTAATGCAGATGACAATGGTAATTTTACTTTAATGGTTTCTATGCAGGTTCAAATCTATGAAACTTTACTCTAGCACAGCCCGACAGAGTGTTCGTTACTTCCGAGACCAATTTGATGGTTTATTGCATCATCATGTACGTTATATTTTACACATATTGAATATTAGAATTTTTAGTGTAATCTTTGCATCATTATAATGTGTGATTACAATGCACGTAATTTGGGAATCGTATATCATTCAAAATCTTCCTAGTTACTGTAGGTGGGGCAGGCCCTTTGGTCATACGAGGGTGTAGTCATTTACCATTTACATGTGGAGCCCATCATGCCAAAGAGATTCGCACGACAGTTTGGAAAATTGCAATCTATACCTGAACTCCCATTTCCGTATAAGGCGGATCATCATCGACCCTCCGGCACTGGATCCCTTTATGCATTTACAGAATATGTTCGTGTATGGAGAGACGATCGTTTAAACCATGTAATCTTAGACGAGATGGTCCCTCGAAACTCCCCACTCAATGTTGGAGATGATTTAGCAGCCGGATATCGAGATTGGTTTGCTTTTTTTGGTCAACTGCCATTTTGAGTATGTCTTATAGCAAAATCGTTGAATCTTTTTCAAAACGGCACAAGACTGCACTCAATTGGAAACAAAAAAATTTCGTATCACTCCGTGAATTACGAACATCTTACGAAATCGTGAGCGAACGAAACAAAAGTGGGCTGTTGCAAACTATGGCAACAACCAATATGTTACTAGTCATACTTCTCGAACATATTCATCATCTATCTATAGCTACATGGTGGATCTCGAGAATAGAGTTTGCAATTGTGGTCGATGGTCTTCCGATGCAGTCCCATGTGTTCATGTTCATGCTGTTTTCCACTCTAAGCGTCAAGTTGCAAAGAGTCTCATCCCACCGGTATATTCGATTCCACGTTCAGGAAGACGTAAGCGTAACCGGTACATTGGTGAGATGGATTGAAGAGCTACTAGAGGAGGATGAATGTATACATCTACCACACTTAATGTAACTTTATTGGTCTTTTTGTTGGATGTATCTTGTTCAATAGTAAAATATTTCTTTCATTATTTTTGTCTATGAAAAACTTCAATTTTTCTTTAGTTTTTTAGATTTTAAATGTTTATATTAATGGACTATTTGTGACACACCTCCCATGCAAAATTAGTAATTATTTATATTATTTAAAATAATCAAGATTCTAAAACCCGAAAAAAGAAAAACCAAAAAAAATAAAATGAAATGTGTGTACTTGACTTACGGTTCTTTAATTGCACATGCAAATTCCATAATTATTTACTTTTGAAAATCGGGATTTTAAAACCCGAAAACTAAAAAATTGGGATTTGAAAACAAATCCCATTCTTCCCAATTGGGAATTTGAAGCTAATCAAATTCATTATGTTTTAGTCCTATTTAGGTAAATTTCTCAATATACTTCCCTCTGGCGTAATTTAATCACACACATTACATCTAAACATCAACAATCAAAATGAGTGCAACATTCAAATTCAAAATTACATCCAAATTACTCGTTGTATTAGTGAACCATTCATGACTTCTCCGGCCAAGGGAGGGTCTTCATCCCCCACCTTGATCATATGTATTTCTTCAAAGCCATGCCTTATTAGCTCTTGGTGATTTTAGTGTCATCGGTTTATTTTGTGTAATTGGATTTACTTTGATTGGACAAGAATTTAAATAGACGTTGTCAAACGAGTTAGGAGGCGCGGAGTGCGTGCTCATTCAACGATATTATAAATTCACTGCGGGGTCCGGGGGCGGCAGTCCCCGGGTAGCGGGGTCCAAGGGGTAGAGCCCTGGCTGGGGTCGGACATTGTTTCTTTATGAAAATTCTTAAGATTTTCTTCACCGGAGTCCAAAACGGTAAAGGACTCGTACACAGTGGATAACGTCGAAATAGAGCCTAAAAACCGCAGGAGACCTTTCATTCAAACTCGCGCCTTTCTTCTTCCTCGCGCGAATGTACGCGTACGTCTACACGAACGTTCATGTCCGATCATAAGGATTTTCGACTCTATAAAATAGAGTCTCGTGGTATGGGTTGAGTGATCGATTTCGAGTGCTTGTTCTTGATTAACGTCTTATCCGATTAAAGTGTTTTGTATACCCCGAAATAACTTTGATCTGAAAGCGTTTCATACGTGATTTGTTATACTATCAAGTTCTTCGTTTAACACTGCTTCGCAGTGTTCTTCCTCATAGAAATCCAACATTAGCTTCATCTACGTCCTTGAGTATTCCCCTAGCCAGTACATATAGTATAGGCTTGAGAATGAAGGTTTCTCAGCAAAACACATCGATCCGCAGCCAAAAAAGAAAAAAGACCAGACGGGATCCAGTCATTAATCTACTCGCTTTTTTAACTCACGCACCAGCGGTGACCTTCAAATTGATGTGGCGGCGACATCTAGTGTTGGAGGCAGTGGCGGCGGCGTTACGAGTAATTACGTAATATAGGGTTTGAAAAAATGTACAAAAAACTTACTTATTTTTCTTGACTTATACTAAGGGGCTGTTTGACAACTTCTGAATGGGTAAGTGCTGAATCAGTAAGAGGTCTGAACCATTAAGTGCTGAACCAGTAAGAGGTCTGAACCATTAAGTGCTGAACCAGTAAGAGGTCTGAACCATTAAGAGCTAGTATATTGCTTAACTATTCAGAGGCAAATATCTGATCAATTCAGATAAGAGGTATTAATCATTCAGACTCTGTATAATACTTAACCATTCAGAGGCAAATCTCTTAACCATTCAGACTTCTGAACCATTAAGAGGCTGAAACAAACGGTCTGAACCATTAAGTGCTGAACCATTCAGACATCTGAACCATTAAGAGGCTGAAACAAACAGCCCCTAAGAACTTATAAGTCGATTTTATAAACACAGAGAAACCTGTCATCGATGTGCTTATAAAGTTTAAAACAATTTATATACAGTTTTGACCGACTAACACACGCAAGAGGAACATGTTCATAGACATCAATGAGTATAAGTATAGCGAACCTAAGTTGCACCGAGACAGTAACATGTAATCAAACATTTTCTTCGTCAAGAAGACAAAGATTTTCAATCCATTTATTTCCCTACAAGACAGCAGGAACTGCCATTACATTTTTCTACTGATACATTGTGTAATGAATATACAACAACAACAACGTTAAACAAACGCCAAGATCCGTTTGCACTGTATCTGTTATAGAAATGTAGTTTGAACATGTACAATTCCCTCTTTCTCTCTCTCTCTCTCTCTACCCTGCTTATATATGTATCCTTCCAAGATGTGTGGTCATGAACCAGTCCATGATTATTTCATCAGCCCCACTAACCAATCATCAAAGTAAAACATTGATGATTAGAGGCAGTGCTTCCTGTCAAAATCCTTATCAGAGAGCAATGTGGACAAGAGATTACTGAACCGTGTAGCACCGGGCCCCGGTCTCAACGATGTTATATTTGTGACATTGTAAAGCGAGGAGTTTGGATTTATGCCCGCGGCTCCATCATCAAACCAACTCCCGGGCACATACCCGTCGGGTTTGCGACCCAGAAGCTCAGAGTCAATCTTATCAAGCACGACCGTTTCATTTCTACCAAACTTTCTGGCAAACGGTGCATTGCTCTTCACCATCGTAGGGTAATCGTCCAAAGTGAGGTAATGTGGATGTTGTTTTGGGGGGTTGTCCCAGGAAATGAAGTGCAGGTCATGGTTCACGGTGGTGTTCTTAAATTCGTCCGCGTTGCATATCACAGTATGGAAATACCCTTCTGGGGAAGAAAGGAAGTTGGCGTAATACATCAACACTATCCTTGGGAGGTTGTCCCACCCCCAGATGCAGTATTCCACAAAGGGTCGAGATAGCATCATCCAGGCTGAGCCTGAGGGGAATTAAAATTGAAAACCACCATGAGTTCCATCCTAAAGAGTATACATTTTTGCCAATCCAAAGCACCATAATTCAGCACTCACCTGTGAAAAGTTTATAGGCAGATGGAACGCTTCTTTTTTCGGAGACCCAGAAGATATCCGACTTGTTCTGGCTATAGAGAGCTGGATCGATTATTAAAGGCCTCGCTCTATGATGCCTGCAAAATTACAAATGATGCAATCCACAAAAAAATCAAAACTTGGCTTACTTGGGGAAAAAAAATTAACACATCTGTTTATCAAAGGGCAAGTTGAGCCACATACTCCTTCCATCCAATGTCACTGGTATGCTCGATAAAATTAAGATCTCTTGGAATGGTAGAGAGAGTGTGAAGCATATCTGTTCAAGAATCAAGACAATGATATTAACTTATTTCCATTTATGTCTTTATATACATGATTAAAATCTAAACCCCCCAAAAAAGTGCAGTAACTTTAGCAGTCAAACTGGGGTGGAGAAATTGGGAGTGAGGGAGGGAGTATGATGTTATATCGTTTCCTCACTGCCAAAGGACCACTCATCCCAAAACAAAAGAACAAATTGGGTGGGAAAAAAAGACAAAGAAATGACACTGAGAAATCCAAACTTAAAAAGTCTTTTTTTTTTTCAATTCCAAGAACCACAGAAAGAATCATACCATCCTGGGTGAGCAAAGGGTAATCAGAGGCACTCAAATTGATGAACCAGTCCCAATCACCTCCCTGTTTGAGGAGAATAGCAGCCCCGTGAAGGGTGTTAGTGACCATAGTGGGTCCTCTGTAGGTGACCAGGTTAGATCTCATGATAACCCTCACATTCCCAACCTCCACGAACAAGGGCTCCGTCGTCACGAACCTCACCAGCTCCACCCTCTCCTCGGCGGGGGCCTCCAGGTCCAAGTGGACCACATACTGGTTCAGAGGGTGGTAGAGAGCCTTCAGAGCCCTCTTCAACTTCTCCCCATCGCCGATGGACCCGGAGATCAAGTAGGCCAGTCTGGGTGTTCTTGAGCTGGGGCGAGTGTCGCCCACGCGCAGCTTGGATTCAACAAAGACCGGAGCTTTGAGGGGCTTTGCCGGGCTCCGGCGGAATGGGTTCGGGGAAAAGAGGGGGAGAAGGACGAGGAGGAGCGAGGAGATCAACGCCAGAGGGAGTAGCCATTTCGTTTTCGTCCGTGGATTCGTGACCTCCATTAATCAGCCAGGAAAAGTGTTTCTTCTTGATTCCGGCCGGCCCGGGGGAGGAATTTTAATAGCGGCATTGCCGATTTGTCGGTTGACCAATGCTTCCTGTGTGCACTGTGCAGTAGAGTGGGGGAGGATTGGCGCGTGGTCTAAAGCTTGGAGAAGAAAATGGGCGTTGGCTTTTCTGTGATGCTCAACCGGTCACGGAATGGAGAGTTACTTTGAATTCGGGCCAAGACGAGTTCGGGCTCGAATATGCATTGTCCATGATCCGTCATGATACAGCGATATTGGGCTTGAGGCATAGTAGTAATAACTAATAACAGGTCCAATCGGGGAGGTCATCATCATAATTCATACGCTCGGAGTTCAAACGAAAATATAGGCCTATGAAACTATATTTCATTATACCCTAGTTTTAAAAATCGGACTGTACCGGAAATTGGTGAACCGGTGACTAAGTCATTCCGGTTTAGCCTAACAGACCGCCATTTGCAAGAAATCGACTTAAACCGGTAGAAACCGTCTGGTTGAACAGACGAACCAGTTCTTTTTTCTTTTGTGGAAATTTTCTAAAAGTTTACGTCAATAGGACTAAGGTGCTCTTGTGACATTTCTAGCATAAAGTAGTATAATATGATCCATTTCTTGATTAAAAAATAAAATTTCTAAAATGATTTCTTTTCATCAAATTTTAAATATTACGAGTATAATGTTGTAACTATGATTTAAACTTTTAACTACTCCGTATTCTACAATACAGAGTACATATGACGAAAAATGTCTATTTTAAATAGGTTTTGAAAATATTGGAAAAATTATTGAAAAAATAAAAATATAAAATTCTCAATGTAATTTTAAAATATTTTATAGTATGTAATTTTATCATTTTAATGCTCCTATCTAAATTAATTAAATTGATTATAACTTTAGTCATGTATTATAAATAAGTTATTTTTAGATATAGGAAGTATTATTTGTATTATATTGTATTTCACACACACACACACGCACAGATATATATATATATATATATATATATATATATATATATATATATATATATATATATATATATATATATATATGAATGTAAATGTTGAATAACGAATGATGAATATTAAATATTGATTATCTGAACTGAACATTATGTGCATGATATCAAATGATTTGATTATGAATTGAGATTCAGTTTATATGGGTGTTCGACGCATTAGACATGCTTACTCAGCTTCAACGCTGAGCGTGTAGTATGTTTTATTTGCTACACGCAGGTTAATAGAAAGAATGATGTGACGTGATCTTGGAGGCAGACGAAGGCGAGATTGTTGGAATGGATGTGATGGTTTTAAATTGAAGAACAATAATAAATTATGTTTGTGATTATGATTTGTTAAGCTTCCGCAATATTGAAAACTCCGTATTATTTATGTTATGAAAATAATTACTGTGATAAATATAAGTGTTTGAAAAGTTTTAAATTTTACAATTAGCAAGTTAATACTTCAGTCCGAAAAGGGCTGCAGACCTGAACGGATTAGGGTGTTACACCTGCAGCAAGAACACTGCAGCAAGAACAAAGTACACGCCCTGTGGTGGGACGACGTGCCACAAATACAACAACATCAGTTTAGTAATCACGTGTACTAAATGTTATACGAAGCCGCTACTCCTGACCAAATAAAAGGCTCTATCCAAATCGGCAATAGGCTCAACGCCAATAACCTAACCTTGGACAACTCTTAATTGTTCATCATCAAGACCCATTAGGAACATCATAGTTTTCTCACATTCTATACGCACGCGATTTAACGCAGGTGGATCCACCCATGGGATCTTCGCACCTATAAAGTTGATTCCATAATGTGATAAACTGATTATAATACGCGACCACGATTTGACCTTTTTTATGCGAAGTGTTGAATTCACATTTCAATTGATAAATCCTAGGAGTGTTGAATCCCCCATACCTTTTTTGGAGATCCTCCCATAATTTATATGCAAGAGTGTGGGAAATAATGCTCCGTTGTGCAGATTCATCTACACTATTACAGATCCAACTACAGATAATGGAATGATTCGATTTCCAAGTAGCGAGTTCGTGTTTGTCATCGGGCTTAGGAATGCCCGTGGATGTGAGGAATTTTGCTTTGCCACGTCCTCCAAGAGCGTTTTGAATAGCCTTTTCCCAAACCTCATAGTTATCTGATACGGCCCGTCAAGAGGGCCAGGTGTTGGAGCGTGTGGAAAGCCCAGAAATACAACGAGAGCCAAGACGTTCGGGCCGGGCGTCTAGACCACCGGCCCGACTTCGTGATTACGTTTAAGAATTTTATTTATTTCATTTAATTTCATATATCGTTGTACTTTTAGATTTTCTTTAGGTGAGCGAATTATAAGCTCCTTCGAGGGTTTCTTTTCGGTTCTTTACATCGATGCTTTTCTTGAACCAACAGGGCTAGGGTTACTTTCATTCTCTATTTATACTTTACGTCCGGCTATTGAATGGGTAATGAATGAAAGTGATTTAGTTAGACATAATTTCCTTGTTCTTTGTGTTCTCTAAAACCCTAATCTTCCCAGCCGTCCTTCACTTGCTCTCTGTGCCAACAACACAGGCGCTCTCCCATAGGAGTGTAAGCATAACAACTGGTGCTTTCATCCTGCTCGAACTCGAGGATGTCCGGCGACGACTCTCCTTCCTCCCCGTCGCATGTCAATCAAGCTTTGGACGATATGCGAACTGCCATCCAGAACCTTGCCTTGGAGATCCGTACGTCACGCCAGGAGCATCAAGCGTTGGTCCAACGCGTGGACACCTTATTCGACCCTCGGGGTTTTACTCCTCCCACGCCCAGGGGCGGGTTTGGCCAGACGCCCAACGGACCACGCCGTCCTCCTCCGGGGTTTCCCATAATCACAAATCCCATGCACGACGCTTACCCTCCGAAGGTCAGATTTGATGCCCCCAAATTTAATGGGTCAGACCCGGCGGGGTGGGTATTCAAAGTTCAGTCGAATTTTGATTATTTTCGTACCCCTGACGAGGTGCGGCTTCGGCTTGTTGGCTTGCTCTTTGAAAGTCCCGCGTCGGATTGGTTTCTCTATCAACATAACAACAACTGTATCACATCTTGGCCGGCGTTTCTAGAGGCGGTAAAGCAGCGGTTTGATCCTTCCCATTATGAGGACTCTATGGGGCTTTTATGCAAATTACAACAGCGTGCGTCCGTGATTGATTATCAGGCGGACTTTGAACGGTTATTAAATAAGATTATCGGTGTGCCGAAACCGACGCTAATTTCTATCTATATCGCTGGTTTGAAACAGCCAACTCGGCGAGAGGTTCTTTTGCGACGTCTGGTGACGTTGGGACAAACTTTTGTTTTGGCGCGGGAACTAGCGGCAAACTATAAAGACACTTTGGCGGCACTTTTGGGCTCTTCAAAAAGGGTGTGGGGTTCGGCGGCCACAACTAGTGCTGGAGCTTCAACAAGTCGCACGCTTGAGTCCACATCCAAAACTGGCCAGCCCTCTTCTTCGGCCGTGTCGTCTTCTCTTCCGGTGCGCCGTTTCTCAGCAGCCGAACGCGCGGATCGGACGACAAAGGGCCTATGTTGGAACTGTGACGAGAAGTATGTTCCGCGCCACAAGTGTGCACACCGTTTTCTCTCTTTATTGGACACGGCTTGTTGTGTGGTCCGACGGCAGCCTTGCCGATGCTACATGGGAACCGGTTGCTTTGTTGAAGGCCAACTACCCCGATTTGGTCCTTGAGGACAAGGACGTTTTGGTCGGCGGGGCAGATGATACGGCCCGTCAAGAGGGCCAGGTGTTGGAGCGCGTGGAAAGCCCAGAAATACAACGAGAGCCAAGACATTCGGGCCGGGCGTCTAGACCACTGGCCCAACTTCGTGATTACGTTTAAGAATTTTATTTATTTCATTTAATTTCATATATCGTTGTACTTTTAGATTTTCTTTAGGTGAGCGAATTATAAGCTCCTTCGAGGGTTTCTTTTAGGTTCTTTACCTCGATGCTTTTCTTGTACCGACAGAGCTAGGGTTACTTTCATTCTCTATTTATACTTTACGTCCGGCTATTGAATGGGTTATGAATGGAAGTGATTTAGTTAGACATAATTTCCTTGTTCTTTGTGTTCTCTAAAACCCTAATCTTCCCAGCCGTCCTTCACTTGCTCTCTGCCAACAACACAGGCGCTCTCCCATAGGAGTGTAAGCATAACATTATCAGACTGAAGATAGTATTGGTCAGAGAATTATCCGGACCTTCAAATGGATGAAGATAATAATTTGTAGACGGATCGTTACTAGGATTCGTTTTCTTAGATGACATATTCCTCCCAGCCAAAACACAGGAACGATCAATCACAAAAATCAATTGAATCACAAATTGATTGAAGTTGTTGTTGGTGGAACTTTCGGCCAATCAACGATGATAGCGATCTGACTTAGCAACGGAACAATCGGCCAATTAAAACTATGTCAAAAAACTGCGACCGAACGGCGATCGGAGGCAGCCGACCAGAGTAGCACAGAGCGACCGAGCTGGCGATTCGGAAGCAGCCAATCAGGGGAGCACATACTAGAGTTCAAACTTGACGGAAAGACCAAACTCACGATGGCTCGACGTGCTTCGGTGGAAAACGAAAGGGTACAGCTTCTCAGGTTGCTCTGATACCATGTAGATTTTTTAGAATTGAAGTGGTTGTCTTTCAATTCCAACATCAAACTATATACGGAGTATATATTACTCTGTGATGGAGGGAGTAGTTTCTAGTTATCCTACTTTTTTAAGCAGTGAAATACACTTAAATTTTAGGGAGAAGGATTATAATAGAAGTAAACACGTAGAAGAAAGAACTAAAATAGAGTTTCATGAGTGTTTTAATCCCCAAAAATGGATAGTGCAAACATATAATACTCCATGAGAACATGAGATATTTTGATTTTTAAAAGATCTAAGGAAAGTGTATTTTAGAGTTAAGTTTCTAAAAATATCTTTAGATGTGATGGGTGAAAGTAGAATTCGTTGGTAGATTAATAGTAAATAGATGTGATGTGATAGATAGGTAAAAACTTCATAGAGATAAAAGTGACTTTCTAATAGAAATGAGAAATGTTTTTTTGGACGTATAAAAAAAAAGGAGATAGATTTTCAGGGACGGGGAGAGTAAAAAATTACTATGGAATGTCAACATAATGAACTTATAATGTCACATTGATGCTAGCATTACTTCTATTTTGAGGTTAAAAACATAACACTTTTATTTTGGGATAATTAAAGAGTTGTGCTTTATTTCTATTTTGAGTGATTTCTTAACATTTTACTTTTTTTAATTAACCGAGTAGCTTAAAGGTATTTTAGGATGAATATAATATGGATTAATTTAGAAGTTGTTCCCAATTGCGCATAATTTTTTAGTCCTTAATTACCCGGTAGTAATTCTCTAATTTTGAGTTTTGTATTCAACCAATTTTATTGTTTGATTTATAATTAAATGAAAATTATATTATATACTCTGTATTAATTAGTTAAATAATACGAAGTATTTTGAAAATATTTTTAAGAAGAAATGTAATAAAATTATTTTTGAATTAATATCAAATATTAATTTTATTTAGCTAATAGATTAATTTTTACTGTAAAAAATCTAAATATTCAAAGACTAATACTTCTTCTATTTCATAAAACGGTTCCTACTTTGATCTTTAGGAGAAATAAAAAGTATATATATGTGGTTGATTTTCTAATTTTGTTTTTGATGTGATGGTAAAATTAAGATGTAATAAGTAAAGTAAGAAAAAATAGGAATAAAAAAGATTTTTTAATAGAAAATAGAAGTGTTTGAAGAAAGCAATAAAAATAGAAGAGGAAATATTTTAAAATAACTTTTTTGACAACCAAAAGAGGGAAAAAGAGTGCACGGAGCCTTTCTTTCTTTTTCTTTCTTTCTTCTTTAAGTACTTTTTTTTCAGTCAATCCATACACCAACGGTCTTTCCCCTCCACCTCTCTCCAACGCCTTCCCCACTCCACCATCTCTTCACCTCCACCAATTCCACATAGCATAGCATAGGAAAGAAATAAAGTCTTGAGAAAATTAAAAAGAAGAAGAAGAAGAGGAGGCGCGATGATGATGAAAAGATGCAAAAACCCATGGATCGCCCTAATGATATTGTTAAGCTTCGCAGCATCAACCCCAATACTGGGGGGCGGGATATGGCTGAGAAGCCGATCCCAATCCACCGACTGCTTCGAGTTTCTCCATTTGCCCATCATACTGATCGCCGCCCTGATAATGGCGGCCTCAGCCGCCGGCCTCGCCGGAGCCTTCTACGACATCAACATCCTCATATACATCTACGTCTGGTGCACCTTCGCCATCCTCCTCCTCCTCATCGCCTTCATCTTCTTCGCCTATGGCGTCACGGAAGGCACCGGCCGGCCCGTCCTGAACCGGGCTTACCAGGAGTTTTATCTCCAAGACTTCTACGGGTGGCTTGTCCGAGCCGTCACCGCCCCCACTCACTGGGCCCAGATCGGCCGTTGTCTTAGGGGTTCTCGTGTTTGCGAGAACATGGTGAGCTCTCTCAACGGATTCCCGGAAACCGCCGACATGTTTTACACGAGAAACCTAAGCCCTATTCAGGTACTTAAGATATACGCCTTGATTGCACCGTTGGTCTTTCAAGTTATTAGTCATCCATGGTTTGTCTTTTGGCTAATTTTGTTGTTACTTCATGTATAAATACATTTGAACAACTCTTTCTTTTTTATACAAGTGAAATTTGCACTAAATAAGACTAAATCATAAGTCATTTTCCAATTTAGATCTTAAACTTTTTTATTTCCTAAATAGGACTTAATAATATCTAGCTAGTGAGAAGAATAATATCCAAGTGATGCTGGACATTTAGTTCAATAATGACTAATTGATAATGACCAATGGTCCTACATTGAAAAATAAAAACACATGGTATGTTTTAATCCTATTTAGGTAAATTACTTTTTATATAATTGAGTCGTACTTCATGTTTATAACATATACTCCCTCCGTCGACAAATAAGTTTTACGTTCACTATTCAAAGAGTCAAACTTTATTCACTTTGTTGGCCTATATTCGTCACCCATTTGATAAAATAATATAGTTATGTCACCTCTAGTTTTGTAGAATTTTTGATATAGTTTTTTAATATGTAATTTTTATTTTTCAATTCTACACCATTTTTCATATAAAATGATTGGAAAATAACTTCAGTCAAACATCGTAACGCGTAATGTAAAGTTTATTTATGGACGGAGGGAGTATATGGATTAGTTGCACTCTTGGTACTTCATTTGTGTTTTATTACACTGTTAGTCCTTCAATTTTGAAAATGTCACGAATTTTTTTTCAAGTCGCGTTAGTGCATTCATTTTTTCTTTTCTATTAAATTCATGTGAGTAACTCTCTTTTTTTTTCATACAATTGAGTCATACTTCTTGTATATGACAGTCGGGATGTTGCAAACCTCCTACGGCCTGTCGATTCGCTTACGTGAACGAGACCTACTGGAAGACGACGACGACGTCGACCAACAGGGGAATGTTACTGGGGGCGGCAACGGAGAGAGACTGCGGCCGGTGGAGCAACGATCAGCGGCAACTATGCTACGGCTGCGACTCGTGCAAAGCGGGGGTGATGGGGAGCGTGAGGGAGAGCTGGAGGACGGCGTCCGTCATCAACCTCGTCATGTTCTTCTTCCTAGCAATCGCGTACACGGTGGCGTGCATCGCGTTTCGGCTCAAGAAAGACGACGAGCCGCGGCCGGGTTGGGAAACCGGGAAGCAGGTTGAGAAGGGCGAGTCGTCGTCGCGTTATTATTACAGCGATGAGACTAAAATTGACAACAAGTAATTAAGGGTTGTGTGATTTGTGAAAGGTTCTAAGACTTTTAGAACTAGTTGTGCTTAGCTTGTTTGATCAATTCAAAGAGCAGCTGGCATATTGTATGTTTTCCTTGAGGCCGGCCGGTAACGGGTCATCATGGGCCTTTCATGGCATATGCTCCTTTCACTGCTTGGAGTATGTGTTTTATCATATGATGGGTCACAATTTTGAGATGCACTCAACGTTCGTTGTGTGTTTTGTTTTATGAATAATAGATCAGGTGCTTATGAATAATCTTATTATGATAAGATAATTAAAATAATGATAATAATAATATTGTGTGCTTATGAATAATCTTATTATGATAATAAATATAATTATTAAAATAATGATAATAATAATAATATTAATTAATAATTACAATTATAATTATTAATAATAAAAATCATTATTGTAAATATTATTAATAATAATTAATAATAAACTATTATTAATATTATTATAATTACTCTAGTTATTTGAATTTGAATTAGATCTATGCAAATTAGATCTGATCTGTTTTAGATTAAATTCATTCAGATCAAACCAGATCAGATTCATTCAGATTAGATCAGATCAAATTCATTAATATGAGATCACAGAGCCTTAAAAAATTTAGTTCAGAAATGATCTGATTCCAATAAGAAAAAGTAATACTCCCTTCATCCAAAAATAATCTTCCCGCTTTGGCTTTACACGCAAATTAAGGAAAAATAAAAAAAATATTTTGACTTTCCATATTTTTCCTTGGGTTATAATAAATATTGAGACAAAGTATATGTATGGATAGTAATTAATAGGTAAAAAAGATGAGGGTAGTGATGCGGTTTAAAGAAAAAGCATTTGACAAAAAAGGAAGCGAGAAGATAATTTATGGACAGACAGATAAAGATAGTGGGAAGATAAATTATGGACGAAGGAAATATGTAATAAGAATAAGTTGAAGAGAACATGACCTAACAAGTTTCTCAAACTATAGCAAGATAGTAGTTAAAAATGAAATAGTAAGCGATGGTTGGAGAATGACACAAAAAGGTACTTGTGATATTACTAATCACTCGCTATAATGTAAAAATAGAAAGTTCATATAGCATGGGAAATAAGACTAAAATAAAAATAAAACATAGAAATATATCAAAATAAAAATTTCATGTTTTTATTTTCAAAATATGAGTAATTATAATATCATACATGCGATAAATAATACCAAAAGCTTTAGTGAAATATCCATATACAATTCCACATTATCACAGTGTAAACTCTTATTTTGAGGATAAAAAAAGAAACTCTTATTCTAGTATTTTTCTCTTTTTTTTGCTATTATTTAGGGTAATTTTTTTTATAACATGCATGGTTGGAGATGGTCCCCCATTCATGTTGAGATTTTGCTAAGGCCTAACTTTGAATTTTACATGAAAAAAACTTGATTTTTCATCGAGTAATGCTAGAGTCGCAAACAAAAATACTAACAAAATACACAAACTTACTATTTATGTATATTAGTTTTTATTTTTTAATTATTTGATATCATTACTTTACATATTGGATAAATTTGTGTATTTTGTGAATGTTTGATTTGTGAGTCTAGCATTACCCTTACCAAAATGTGGTTGTGTAAGTTTATATAGATATGAGTATCACACAGCATTACTCTCTCCTCTCCATTAATCTAAATCACAAAATGTACATTGATGGATACGTTGGACCAAAGAGTGCCTGACCCAATAATAAAGCCTCGGAGGTCTAAGATCATAAGCCCAATTTGAAGGCTTTTGGGGTTGGACCGCAGCTAGCGGCTGACCCAAGGTTTTAGGTCGGCCCCCCAGTTCCATATGGTGAGCCAACACAAGGTGGATTCACTATAATGAACCCAATCAACATTTTTCTACTTCTTTTTGGCTTGATATATTTTACCTAGCTTGTTATTAGTAGCAAATAGTTTTCATTTTTTAGCAAGCTTGTGAAAAATTGGCAAGCCTCTTGGACCATGAAATTTTGCTCGACTTGTCAAATTATATCATATAGTGAGATGCTCTTACTTGACACCCTTTGCTAGTGTTATCCCACTTTGGCTTAGGGGAGAAGTGTATGCACAAGATACTCATTGCTAACTGTTATTGAAATGAATTTTCTTGGTACATATGTAATTCTATTTTACATTGAACTGAAAATTCACAAAATGGGCAATTTAAACACAATAATATATATCGATATTATAATTCCATTCAAAAAATACAGAAACTCTCATTTGCCAAACCTGTGAATCGTATAAAAATATTATGGTCTTGTTTGGATCCTGGCAGTTGGCTGTTGGCTGTTTATGTTAGCTGGTTTGAATGGCTGATTGAGTTAGCTGTTTTGACCGGCTGTTTCTATTAGCTGTTAAATTTTAAGTGTTTGGCAAGCTTAGCTGTTTATAATAACTGTTTGTAAGTAAAATTACATAAAAGGACATCCCTTCATTTATGTTAATTTGTATGCAATTTTTAATTTTTCTTTAATTTTCATAAAATACGTATATTATACAAGCAATTACTCTGGACATCCCTACATCTTTTTTTTTTGGACAAAAAAGGCTACTTCATTTTTTTTATAATTTAAGAAATGAAAATTTACATTTATATTTTATGAGTAGACTTTTTTTGTATTTATTTCATTTGTCATTCTACAAATAACCACCGTGCATGGTATATTTTATTTTATAGTTTTTTTTAAATATCATAACATAAATATATAAAGATACTTTACACCAACTTTAAATTAAAAACATTAAATAAAAAATTACGCGAGACAAGCATCACAATCTAAAGTATCAAATACTTTTTGAGACGACATGAGCATTAAAAGTGACAAAAAATAAGACAAACTCTCGACTTTTTACTAATGAGATCTTTTCGCCATCAAACTAGAAGTAATATTATTACGGATCTTTCTCATTTCCTGACTTCTTATCCCCATCTCATTATTTGCAACTTGGTTTTCAACATCTTCAAACACATCTACGGGTACAAAATCAGGGTCATCATCAACCAATTGAAAAGTCGGGTCACCAATTGTGCTCTTTCGAATATAGTTGTGCAAAGCAAAACACAAACAAATAATCTTGTTTTGATCCATTAATGAATATCTTGGCATTATTTGCAATATCTTCCACCGAGCTTTAAGAACACCAAAAGCTCTCTCAATGCAACTTCTTAATGATGAATGCGCTTTATTGAAAACTTCTTGACTACCTCTTGGATTTGCACCACGAAACTCAGATTGATGGTACCTTACTTTTGGGTATGGAGTTAAATATCCAACTCTTTCTGGGAATCCTTTATCCACCAAATAATACTTACCTAAAATTACATACAATTAAAAAGTGTTGATTTAATTTTTGAATATAACATTATAAAAAGTTTATAATTATTACCTTGAGGTGGATGTGGAAAATTGAGACTTGCATTGTTGATAGTGTCAAGGAAAATTCGGGAGTCGTGTGCCGATCCCTCCCAACCGCTTAAAACGTATGTGAATAACATATCAAAGTCACACACTGCTAATACATTCGTAGTTGGTATTCCCTTCCTTCCTCTATAACGTAATTGCTCGTCTTCAGGAATAGTTATTGCTCTCAACCAATCAATCTTAGATTTCAACTTCGGTTTATCCCAAGATAGCTTAGCTTCTTTTTGGAAATCACATTCAATCTTCTTCCAATTTAACCTTTGAGAAGTAACACCACCATTTTTCCCCTTACTCTTTTCAACGTGTTTAATACAAAGATCACAAAGGATGTAAACCGATTCTTTTGACCAAATAATCCTTCCACCTTTGTTGTCATTGGTGTTTTCATTCTCACTTTGAGATCCTTGGATGTTTTTGTTATGACAAGGAGCCATAATCTAACACATTTATTTTAAATTTCAATTTTCAAATCAATTAAAATGTTCATATAACTAACTATGTATATTGAAGTAAACAAACTAAGTATATGTTAAAGTTTAGTCAAAACTAGATCCAATAAACAAAACACTAAATAAACTTTTGATTTTGATCTGTTGTTTTTCATCTTGTTCATCAACAATCAAAAAACATGATGATGTCTTTGAGAAGCAAAAAAAATTAACCACAAAAACAGAAGCAAAAATTTCAAAGAGAAGCAACACCACATTTTTTTTTTACTATTACAGAAACAGAAAACACAGCAATTTTTTTTGTACTACTACAGAAACAGAAGCAAAAATTTCAAAGAGAAGCAAAAAAAGGCAGCAAATTCAAGAGCATTCCACCACAAAAACAGAAACGCAACAAAGAGAAGCAGATTCACAGCAAAAAAAACAGTCTCACATCATATAGAAGCAAAATCGCAGCAGCAAAAAAAAATCGCAACAAAAAAACCCTAATCGCAGATGGCCTTGAAGATGTAAAAAATTCAAATTTTTAGACGTAAAAAATTATGAAAATATACATACCTGGTGCCTAGAGGGAAATCGTAGAGAGAAAGAGAGGCAAACTTCCGGTTCTGTACCGTGAAGAAAATCGCAGAGAGCCGTGAAGAAAATTGCAGAGAACTTCTATCGTTTCTATCGCAGATGGCTTGAAAACCGAAAAAAAAGAAGGGTAAGAGACGGAAAATTGCTGATCTTCCGAATGAAACGCTCCTAGGGATGGCGTTTCAATTTTGGCAGTTGGGTTCCAAATGCCAATTCCAAATGCTATCATCCAAACAATTAATTTGGCGGTTTGACCATTTCAATCCGCCATTTGTGGTCAAAAAAGCCAAATGCTGAGCAAAATGCCATTTACCAAACAGGGCCTATATTTCAAAACTCCGTTGCAGATTTCAGCTGCTGATGCTGCCCATTTATCATGCTCAATTGCCTCCGAAGCCTTGCAATATGGCCTTGTACCTATGGTATTCAAATTTCATCAAATAAAGGAGAGAGTATCCAGATCGTTGCAGCTTAAGAAATTTTTGGCTGCACTCAAATTATTTAAAAAAAAACATCTACATTTCAATTAAGAGATGGCAAAGAGCAAGTTCTATCTGCGCTCTGGCCGAGACTAAAACGAAAGGCCCGGGACCTGCTCTATAAAGACAGGGTTGGGCTAGGACCTATGCCATTGAGGCCGCCTCAGTTGGTCCAAGGCTTAAGAGGGCTTCTTTTAAAGAAACCAATTTTGAGAGACATACATTAATAACTCTATGATAGATGGTTTATTCAAATTGTATTAAATAATGCTTAATTGTCTATCAAAATGTTACAGGAAAAATTACGAAAAGAAAATGCATCGGGGCATTGGGATAGAAGATGTGATCACACTAAAGAGAGGGGGGGGGGTTAGGATACAAAACCCAGCAAAATGTGGAACGTGGTTTGACATATGCTCCAATCCTCTCTTAGGAACGAAGTGCTTGACCAAAGGTGCTGTGAAGGCAATCATCAATGTCTTGTCAAAGTATGCACAAATAAGCAGGAAGAGTCTATTGTCCATCTTTTTGTAGATAGGGTGGCCCGAAATGGAGGGATGAAGGTACTTCATAGCCTTATATGGGGATACCCGATACCATAAGGACTTGAAAACTATTAAAGGGAAGCAACTGATACAAGTTCTTGTGTTTCTAAAGGGAAGCAACTGATACAAGTTCTTGGCTTGATAGGATTTTGGGCATAGAAACAATGTTAGGTTATCTGGGAAAGAATTTATTTCTCAGGTCACCATTAAAACCATTACGAGGCTTATGGTGCAATAGCTTTACTGTGTAGAAGAAGATCCAGCCCCATGAACCTGTTAAGAGGCTGCCTAACCGTCTATTTCAAATGGATCGGAAAAAATCTCCGCCGTGCTGGATTAAACTGAATGTTGATGGCAGTGGAACTAAGGGTGGATATGCCATAAGAGTATATGGAGAGAGACAAGGTCATAACTGAGATATTTTCATTGAGTTCTTCGCGGTTAATCAGCAGAAATACCACCCAAGTATACTGGAATGATCAAAGACTGTTGGCGAAGATCAGAGAAAGCAATAGATCATTAGGCTCTAAAATTTAAAAATTCAACTTGTGTTGAGGGATTTAAGTAAGTCTGTTGATGTTATCGCTAGGCTTACGAGTGGGCTGGGCCAGGCCCTCTTACCTGGTTTGGTTACAGGAGTTCTTGGTTTTTTGGAAAACAAAGGGTCCATTCGATGGATAGTCTCCAAGTTAAAGTAACAACCACTTCCACCAAACATTTTTTCCTATTGGCAAATGATCTATCTAATACTTCTTCCGTCCCTTTTTAACGTTACTACACTTTGACTTTGCACAAAGTTTTAAAAAGGGGAAATTATATAATTGTAGATGAGAGAGAAATCAAATGGACCATACAGATATTTCTTAAGAGGGATACAGAATAATTAATTTGGGACAACCCAAAGGTAAAAGTGAGAGCATTAAATAGCGACAAAAAAAAGAATGTCTAGGAATTATTTTCCTGGACAAAATGGCAGAAATGACAAAAAAAATTGAAAATATTACTTTTCCTACTTAAATTACTCCCTCTATTTCCTATTAATTTTCCCAATTTCATTTTTATCTTGAATTTATCTCTCATTTAACTTTAAGAAAACATTATGTGGTTTATACTATTTCTCTCTCCTTAAAAAAATATAAACCACATGGTTGACTTGTTGTCATTTTCTATAGGAAAGTTGGAAACCAATAAACCAACCTCTGAGGCATTGGATGAAATCATACCTACCTTTTATTATGGGCGGTAGCATACTCATACTGGCTAGTGGAGGGTATTATTCATAAGTCATAACATACCAACTTTTGTTTTTGTTGTACATGGTGACATGTTGGATGTTGAGTAAGTGCTCACTCTCTAAAATTTAAATTTTCAAGCAAATTAATTTTCTTTTATTCCACAACTCTTCCTTTTTATTCCACACGATCCACAATTTTCATTCATTTGCAAAATTGGTTTGTCAAGTTCACATGTTGTGTCACAAAATGTAGTAGCATATCATAATTAATTGTTCCATAGTAAAAAATTGTGGACATTTCATGTGGGATAAAAGGAAGAACTCAGATTTCTTGAAAAGCCAAAGTAAATTATACGGAGTAACAAAGTATACATATTTTAACGAGTAGAAACTTAGTTAGCCATCAATGTATCACCATGTGCAACCAAAACAAGTCAGTTTATTATGAATAATACCATCCATGGGTCATTATGCCAGTAACCATGCCACTGTAAAAAAGAAAAGGTTGGTATCTCGTCGTCCAATAACCCCAATGGTGGGTTTACTCGCATCCAAAATTTGGGATTTTATTTGGTAACGAGTGGAGTATATATTTAACACTACATTGACTACAAGATATAGCATTTAAAATAACAAGAACATTAATGTTGATTTATTGGTTGTTGTGGTTTAGCCATTCCACCTTCAATCATGTGTGCATAAAAAATATAATATAATACTCCCTTCATCCCAAAATCATCGTCTCACTTCGAATAACGTGAGCCTCATCTATTTTAAAATCATTTTATTTAGAAATTGGTATAGAAATAAAAAGCTACATATTAAAAACTACATCAAGAGTTCTATAAAACAAGATGTGACATGAATATTTTATTTTTATCAAATGGTCAATGAAATCGTGCAAACAAACAAAAGTTATCGAAAGTCTAGAATAGCTATGAAGATAAATCCGGGACATAGAGAGTAGAACAATATGACATATAAGAAGTAATGTTAAGAATCAAATATTTGTAGTGGGTTTTGGCTATGTTTGACTCATTGAGATAAAAGCTAAAAAGATAAGTGAAATTTGCAGTAAATAGTACTAAAACATATGTCCTTTCCCAATGTAGTACTTAAACTTTTTTATTCCCTAAATAGTACTTAAATAATGTCTAGCGGCGGGAACAACGTCCAGTGATGGTGGACATTTAATTTGAACAATGTCTAGTGGCGGTGGACATTTACTTGAACAATGACCAGTGGGCATTTGAACAGTGGTACTACATTGAGAAATAAAAACATATGGTACTACATTGGAATAGTCATTATGTTTTAGTACTATTTAGGTAAATTCCCCAAAAGATAATAGCTAGAAGCTAAAATGTAAAAGATACTTATTTGGTCCCTTAAAAAAATAACAATGTTTCAAAAAAAATTGGAAAAAAACAGTTTTCTAACAAACAATACGGAGTACTACGTTTTCACGCATTTGTTCCATTTTAATCAAAACAAATAAAAATAAATATGATAAAAATAGATAAACAAAACATAAATGGAACAAATCTACTTATGATTGATCGCTATGAGACTTGTAAGTTGTAACTTTCAATAGATAAAAATAAATAAATGTAGTATTAATATACGACAAGGTGAATGGTTGGGTAAAAATCGCATTGCTTCAATGATTATAGGCTCAATGATTCAATTCAGATTTCAGACATATCAGTATTACGTACATTAAACTATTTGTCATTTCAACTGAAAAGTAAGTCACAAAAAGGGCAAGAGTTCACGTTCTGGTTAAACAAAGCTAAGAAAAATCTTATATAGTGCAAGATTCTGAACTTTGTGATTTATGTTTGGTAAGTTTGGTTGTTATAAGAAATTTTGAATGCCTTCTAAGCGAGATCAATTATCAAATCTTACAGCCTTACAGGTTCGAGTCTCTTGAAGGGGAGGGAGCCTTGAGCACCGGATTGGATGATTTAGTGTGACCTAGAGGTCATGTGTTTGTGTCGTGGAAGCAACCTCGTGCAAAAATAAAAGGTAGGGCTTGACTACTTCACACCCGGTGGGACCCTTCTCTGAAACTTTGCTAAGTGGGAATACTTTGCTTGACCTTTACTAGTATCAAATTTTAATAGATCTCATCCTTCCTAAGTTACTTACCTGCTGTCGAGCCGCTGTTAGTTTTAGAAGCTCATCTGCCTCAGAAAAATTAGTGAACCATTGGCTTAGGGGATTATCCTTGGTGTCACCTCTCTTTTTTCTATCAACAACTTCTGCTGGTGCTGGAGTCAAACACAAAGACATCAATAACTCAAAATGTGGTGTTACTACTGCACAACAATAAAGCAGTATTTGGAACCCAAATAAAAAAACTTATAACACACCCGCGGAAGGTAAAGCCATGTCCGCAGGTAGTCTGGGCGCAATTAATGCCGGATGGTTCTGCACCCGAGCGAGGAAAGCTTCAGAAGGTTTGGCTAAAACAATTTCGTCATATGATTCAACAATGATAGGTTTCTTTGTGGAAAGAGGACCAGACTCGTCCTCTGGATATAGCTTTAGATGGTGGAACCTGTAACACAAAGTTAAAAATTGAATTTTAGCTTTGATATTCTAAATGTGAGATTTGCTAAGAAGTGTTGAATTCAAATTTTATCCTGGCATTTGTAAAGATCCATATGAATAATACATGGAAAAAATGCATTGCCTATAATTGAGATTCAACTATACGAGTAGCTCACCCTATTTTTAAACTCGTAACAACAAAAAAAACCCAACCCAATATAATCCCACATCCGTTGGGGCATAGCGGTAAATGTACACAGCCTTACCACTGTAAAAAAAGAGAGGGGATGTTTCCGACGAACCCTTTTATGCATTGTTCGTGCCTATAACTTCATCTAAATTCAAAAAAGGGAAGTTTAATGTGTTGTTTTGATTTAGCCCAATCTTTACTTGAAGCTAAAACATTGTAAATAATGACTTGTTTAGCTCCTTTGTCAAACACATTGTTTTTTAATCACAGTTAGGGATGTAAACGAATCAAATATTCACCATTAACTCCATTATTATTTGTGTTCAGTTTTGTGGACGAGTATTCGTATTCAATTCAAATATGAATCACAAGTTGAAATAAAATTCACATATCATTACCCCAACGCCTCAAAGGCTCTCCCCGCCCAATGTGGGGTAAGGGGAGGTCAGATGTACGCCCACTAACCCCTATCTTTAAACCATAGAGCGGCTGTTTCCAAGTGAGTGATGATGGGGTTCAAATGTTGCACTGACTAACAGCTACTTCACTATTGAAAGAAGCGCAGACAATTTAAAGACCGATTTTGCCTTACTCCATTATACCCCAAAGCCGAAAAATAGTGAATCTTTGGCTCGACCAGGGAAGATGGAAGAAACAAATCCAATTAAATTTATTCACTTCTTTAACAAACCTATCCACAGTCACAAGTTTAGTACAAGAATAAAACTTTTTTGAGAAGCTAAGAAATACCACTTAAATGATTTAAAAAAGAACCTCACAAGTGCAATGGCTTGTCACAAACATCATTGTGGAAAAAAAGAGTAATAGCAATCTCAAATTCACCCCATCCACACTCAGACAGCTCAAAGGGAGGAGCATCCAGCACCCTTGTTGGGTTATTAAAACTCGAGTGCAGCTGGAAAACTGCTCGTTTTATAACCACGCTAACATCTTCATTTGTTGCCCCCCGGACATAAACTGTCCATTTATGAGACTGATACCTATACAGCAATTAACAATGGCTCCGGTCAGACATCTAATCAAATATTCATAAAGAAAGTATTAAAAAAACAACCATCATCTTGAGCAATACTCACTCGCTTGCCTTCTTACCAAGCCAAAACGCAATATTTCCATACACGATTGGGACAGTAACCTCAAGCTCCTTAAGTTTCTGCGCCGAGTTCTGCAAATCCCCCCCAACAATATGAGGTGAATTTCTCACAAAATTCAATTAGGTGTGGCAACTTAATTGCAAAAACAGATTCGCTAGGTTCATGAAATTAAATAGGGATGAAAAAAAAGTTTCACTTTTGTGTCGCTATCGTCGGAAGATTTAATGATTTTTGTGCGTTGAGACATTGTAGCAGGTGCAATTACTTCAGGCTGATCTGCTCCTAAGCTTCTTCGCTGAGCCCCGCGAGACTACGGATTGGATCATTGGAGGTTGATTTTAGATTTGAAATCAACGTTTTCTGGTTAGGATTTTTTTATTGTGGTATTAGGAATGGGGGTTTAAATAATTAAATCCAATAACTTCACACTTTTCATCTAATTTTATTAAATTTACACTCATTGTTATTGTAGAATAAATTCCATAAAAGATCCCCAATTATAGTTTGTTTTACAAATTTAGTCTCTAAATATCAAAAATTAATAATTTAGTCCCCAATTATGATATTGTTTTCCACGAATGGTCCTTTGTTAACATTTTCGTTAAAAATTTTGTAAATGCACGCTCCTCTCTCTTCTCAATTAAGTTTCCTCTCTCTTCTCGCACTCCTTTCCCAAACTCGTCGCTGAGTTTAAAGCTTTAAATCCAAAATCAAAATCATTCCATCTCTCTCAATTGTTCATCTTTCTGCTGGAATCCAAAATCAAAACCAGTAACCTTCATGGATGAGTTTTAAGATTTGTTTTCTTTGCGATTTCTTGAGGCTAATCCAAAAATTCATCCATGAAGGTTATTGGTTTCGATTTTGAGTTCCACCAGGAAAATGAACAATTGAGAGAAGAGTGATCGTTTCGTTTTTGGGTTTAGAGCTTCAAGCTAAGCGACGGGTTTTGGATTGAGTACGAGAGAATGGAGAAAGCTTAATTGAAGAGAGAGAGGAGTGTGAATATACAATTTTATCCATGTTCTTAATTAAATGTTAACAGAGAACTTGTAACACCCTAATCTGTCCAGGTCTGCAGCCCCTTTCAGACTAAAGTATTTAACTTGGAAATAGTAAAAATTTAAAACTTTTCAAACACACTTTATAAATCCCAATAATATTTTCATGACATATACAGTACAGAGTATTCAATAATATTGCGGAAGCGAATTAAAAATTGACATATCATAATTCATTTCAAAACTTGTCACATCCATCCCGACAATCTCCCCTCATTTGTCACCAGGATCACATTGTTCTTTCTGTTTACCTGCGTGTAGCAAATAAAACATACTACACGCTCAGCGGTAAAGCTGAGTAAGCATATCTAATGCGTCGAACATCCATATAAACTGAATCTAAATTCATAATCAAATCATTTGATATCATGCACACAATGTTCATTTCAGACATTCACAGTTTTGATAATGTTCAGTTCATTTCAAACACATTTTATTCAATTCAGATATTATTTCGATAGTGCCCTTAAA